TCAGAGGAGAAATCTGGTTTGGAATCTTGTACACCTTAATACCAAACATGTCTGATATTTAGGAGTTAGCTGCGAAGTATTGTTAGCATTACAGCAAGTTGTTGCACCACAGTCTCCATTATGTTTACATCTGCTTCCCCGTGAGATCACATGAAGTGGTGCTCTGCTCCCTGACTGCTCCTACTGGCACAGTAATAATTCATGTGATATAGTAGTGTAATATAATATCATACTTTAGTGTGTGGTGTGACATTGTTTTTTTATTCTTGTGTGTGTACGTCTGAGATTAGAGACAGGAATATCTGTTATAAGTTTCTCCTTATGTGCATGATGCAAGCCGAATTCAGTATCTGTTAGGATTTTAAAACTACTGTAGTGTGAGTCAGACCGAAGGTTTACATAAAGACTGAGAGTGCGTTTCTTTTTTAAAGATTATTTTTTGGCATTTTTGCCTTTATTAGTCAGGACAGTGAGAGAGTGAGACAGGAAAGGGGGGAGAAGAATGGGGAGAGACTTTGCAGCAAACTGTCGTGAGCGGGAGTCGCACTCATGAAGCCACGCCGGAGAATTATAGCCCCTGTTCATGGGCCGCCCGCTCAACCAGGTGAGCTATAGGGACGCCCTGAGAGTGCGTTTCTCTATCACAAAATCAATTACTAAATTCCTCTCAGAGACTAATGAGACACTAGGATGGAAGACTTCAAATTAATCAGAATATTAACAGCTGAGTTATGGCCATTTATTTGTCACCAAATCAAATTTTAAGATGCAGCTTCAAGAAATGCAGCAAATATATGGATTTCAGACACAGTAGTGTAGTCTGACACTTCTTTCAGTGCATTAATATTCTATTTTCATGACATAGAGGGAGACATAGCTAGTAGGAAACTGTCACGTCGCACACTATAAACTAAAAACTGACCAAAGTGTTCACAGTCTCAAGAATAGAGGCGAAAACAGAAACATGTTATTATTCATTTCCTGAAGTAATAAGTTGATCCATTAAATTTATTGCAAGCATTGTGGTTTAGTGAAATAAAAATGCTTGAATCAAACTTTATAAAATTAAATTGACTTATTTTCCATCTTTGGAGAGCTTGATGGAGCCCTGCAGGTTGCCTGTATCAGCATTTTCACAACTCATATTGATCTGTGAACGTATTGATCTTCCTACCAAGACCCAAAATTCTTCAATGTAATACTCATGTGACATTCCTCCTGGAGACAGTGGATGCATACTGTATCTCACTGATTCCTGTGTGATGTAGTGTTCATATAACAGGCTATATTAAGCACTCATGTCACAATGAGAACACTCAGGCTAAAAATAAATAGCAGCAGAGCTGAATGAAAATGTAAGGGAGGAGATTGTATCTTTTTGAAAGACGTGATGAGAAAACATGCAAAGATAATTACAGTTCATGCTCAATTACAAAAACAGCATTCAACAATCAGAAGATTTGAGCAGCTAAAGCCTTAGATCGTTCCCCAGATTAGTATGCTGCATTATTCATTCTGGCCTTTAAGCTTTATTGAATCCAGTGCTTATTCTTTCTCCATTGTGACACATGGAAGTACTGGTGAATGGTAGGACAGAATTGCTCATAAAAAAAAAAAAAAAATAGTTCACCAATACCAACCAGACATCTAGGAGAAACTGTTAAGTTTTCAGTCAAATGTGAAAACAACACACACAGAAACTGTAGGGGTGGCTGATCGGACTAACATATCAGTGACTGACTGAGTTTGTCACTCATTCTGCTTACTTGAGACTTTAACTCGCTAAATTAGCAAATTAAACTGGAAGTTGGAGTTTAGCATGTATAAGAAACAAGCTAGCAGCCAAGAGAGATGGTGATTAAATAGCTATCAATCATACAGTTATCCATAAACAGTTATCCAAATGTTGTGTATTGCGTTGGCTGCCCAACGTCACTGGAGAATTAATTGGGGCAGTAAAAGCTAGTCAGCAGCTACAATGAATAAAGACACCTTTCAGACCCTAACCAGAGGTCTGCCTGCCATACTTTGGACTGTGGATCTGGAAAGATCATGCTTGTAATACCTGAAGAGTCGGGTCTGCCACGTTGATAGTAGTGTGTAAAGAACAGAGTACTTTATCAGAGTAACTTGAATGCCTCAGTTTTGAACAAATTTGGCAAAGCTGTTCAGGCTAGTAGCCATTTGTAAGCTTTGGATTGGTTCTAATCTGCAGAGAAAATCCAACAGTTGTTTCTCCAGCACATGTTTAGATTCAGAATGTGCTCAGAGAGGAGGAGCTGTTCACAGAGAGAAAGAGAAATAGACCTGAGCCATTAAGCGGTAGTGATATGTACTGGTGAGAGACACTTCATCAAGAGCAGTGAGAAAGTTTGTCTGACTGAATCCTCAATAGTTCCGCTTATATGTACCAGATGCAAACCATCAGGAATGCACACAGTTAAACTGAAAAGTTCAGTTTCATGAACAAACTCCAAGCATCCTCCCACTCTGGATCATACCATCCTATCACACATTCATGATGGAGCCCTCCATTCTGCTCACCATTGACTCTGTGCAGGTCTCCCGAGGTGTGCTAGTCCACAGCAGCCTTGGCCTCTTGTGTGTCCGTCAGCACCCACAGGTGGAGGCTGTGGATGGTCGGGACTGACATTGTCGTCAAAAACACCTTGGCCCTTGTGTCCGCTACCTGACAGCCTTGTTGTGGTGTACACACAGAGGCTGCTGCAGTTCCTTTTCGTGCACCCGATATTCACAGATCACTTTTGGACTGCACATCTAATTTGCTAAATACAACAATTTCTTTGAAGTTTGTTTATTTATTGCTTCTTTTTGATGTCTGTTTTTCCTCAAAGTTGATTTCATTTCCTATGTTTATTTAATGCGTATCAAGGGGAGTGCATTCCTTTATCCTTCGCTTATTTATCAGTATTTATCTCTGTGTTTTTAGTTGTTAACATTAAAAGTAGTGCCTGTGTGCCTTCATCAACATAGTAATTATACTAAAATTAAGATAGTTAAATTCAGTTTACCCATTTTGAATTAGTAAAATGTCTGTGTTGGTCAGTGTTGATATTATGACGGGATGCAACAAATACATCAATATATAGAAAATACTAATCTGAGACCACTGGTCTCTTTTCACATAGTGTCAGACACCTCTGCTAACATATTAGCAATCAGCAGCTATCGCACTGACCCAACCAAAACAAGTAGTTGCACTAATTATGGTAACAAACCAAAACCAGAAATGCCCACCAATGAAATCTCATTGGTAAGTCCAGTACTGATCATCTGATCAATACACAGAGCAGCACAGTAAGCAGAGTGGAGACTGGTACTGACCTCAAGGTTTCTTACTGAGTTCTGGGATTTAAACAAAGACCTCACAAATCTATTTGTGCATGTTTTTGGTGTGGATCAGCAATGTGCTGATTCCAGTGTTTCGGAGCAGAGGGCATGTGTGTTCCTGGCATTCAGTCAAAAGTTTCATATGAGCAGCCCCTAAAGGGGGTGTTAGAGTTCTTTCCTGCAGGAGAAAAGTGATGCATTGCACCCAGCTGCACAGTACTGCTGCTGAGTAAGCCTTCGCGTTTCCTCCAGACATTTGCTAACCAATTTTTTGAAGTTCAGCGATCAGTTCACTTCCAGTATTATTGGATTTCACACTGACACATTTTGTTTCTGGATCTGTGATGCTACAGGGTCATTAAGAGGCAGCTCACACCACTAATCACAGATGCCGAGCGGCTTTTTGTAACTGAATGAAGGCAGAGGAATTAAAGCCAGTTGCCTCTACCAGGTGGCCACTCACTTTCAAGGGGAACCACAGCTTGTTTGATGTGTCTTTTGACCCTGTGAAATTGCAGGAGTTCATATTGCTGAAATGATGAATCTTTATGGGAAACATGAGCTGGCAAGCTTTTGAAAATGTGCCCTGTGATGTTAACTTAAAATGGATACCCCCGTCAGAGCAGCCACAGCACAGGCACAGAGAGATGGTCTTTGTTGCAGATGGATTTAGTGCCATTGACTTACCTGTACTGAAGCAGGTCCTGCTGTTATAAAGTCACTCCTCCATGAACACAAGTTTTTTTGTTTTTTCATACTAAAGACCAGTAAAACAGTACTGTACTGCCAGTTTTCAACCTCTGAACACCAAAATCTGGCAGTAGATTTGACAGACGTGTTACCTCTAAAAAAGTCACTAAAATGAGGCCATTTATCAGAATCAGAACCTGTAAAAAATCGTCAGATTCTCAACTTACGAATAGTTTTTTGTCTCATGTGTATGTACAGGTCAGTGTAGAAAATTAACCAAATCTATGCCTAAGATAATGATATTTAATTAAAATCTTTTCTTCCACTTTAAAATGATCCCACTGTTTCTTACTGTCTCTTCTCTGCTCTGTGTAAACACAGTCTGCAGTTCACCTCAAAAATCTAGGAATTTTTGTCACGTCAGAACTTTAATTTTAATCTTAAGTTTGGTAAAGTTTCCTTACAGAACCATACAGCACAGTTTAGTTTAAGGATTGCCAGAAACAATTATTTTTTTTCTGTTTTTACAGTTTCTGACTTTACAAAAGAGTGTAATCTTGATGATTTCTTTAAAGAAAACGTGCCTTGCAATTCTGCCCGTGGGTTTTGGAGTTCAAAAGGTTAGATCAAGTATGCGATAATGGCCTCGCCATTGTGATGTTATCGTGTTGCAAAAAGCTTTTTGTGTAAATGACTCTAAAAGCCTAGTTTTGACCCCCCTACAGACTTGGTCTGTTTGTTAACATATCCCACTCCTGTGCTCTCCTGATCGCGGGTAAAGCATGAGGGAGGAGCCTGTCTTACCTGCTCACGCTCAACCCCTCAGCACAGCTTCCCACCAGAACAAAGACCGCCTCCGAGCCTCCAGAAACCTCCCCTGAAACCCAACACCTGTGACATCATGCAGACAGACCCTGCTGCTGCCGGCTGGTCCTACTCTCAGAGCTGCAGGCTGTTCACTACCCCTCAGTCCCAGGAGAGCTCAGCAGCTCTGACCTGCCACAAGGAGGTAATCCACATTCAGATCAATCACGCTGCTGCAGAGCTTGTACCTGTGCACACCTCCCCCAGGCTCCATGCTCCGCCGGCTCGAAGGAGTCTTCGTTTATGGGCTTTTTCGGGGACTTGTCCTGTCACTTCTAAAGCACATCGCTGAAGGCTGCCATCACTAAATCTCCACAGGATACTCTCACTTTCTCCATGGAACTTAATGCAGGTAAGCCCTTGCCGTTTAGCAACTTGTGAAGTTTTTATGCTGAATGTGGCCATCTGCTCACACGCCTTTAGAGGCTTTTATTTCTCTGGTATAACTTTGAAAGTGGCTTTCAAATATCTATTTAGGGTCTTTCTGAGTATCATTCTCTCTTTGGTTGGATTGCACTTAACAACAAAAGACCCTGGTGAGTTTGCTTCCGACGAGGGTCTGTGCACACTCACACCAACAGCAAACAGGGGAGACAGAGAGAAGAATGAACAAACAAGACAGAGTACATTGAAGACCTGAGTTTGCCTGCAGGAGGGAAACTCTGCGTCCACTGTGATTCAGTGCAGAAACTAAAAGAGGACTACTCGCTGTATTCGTTTGATGCTTTCACCCTCCTACACGTTTCAACACAAATACAACAGATCTTCATTAATAAAGCCTCGTGGTGGCATAATTAATATTCATTTTATTTGTAATTATTTAAACTAAGTCAAAGAGACGCAAAAAAAATTTGTACATCCAATACTTAAGATGCACATGACATCAAGCCTGTGAGCAAAAATCCATATAACAAAATAATAAGGCAGCACAGGTGAACAAGTTTATGTAACTAACATCTGAATGGAATAGTAACATACAAGGTGACTCAGTCAGACTCAAATAGAATTTTTGGGGATTATTACAGTCTTCCAGTCTCATTGATGAATCAGTATGTAAATGTCTGAAAACTGAAACACGTCCATCGTAGTCAGTAAAGATCTCAGAGATATTCATTTTGCAATTAGACAAAAAAAAAAGCAGATTTCTCACATCTGGCATTTTTACTTCCTGAATATAATTTTTTATTAATTAATTCAATTAAATTGATAGATTTAGTGATTATTGTCTTAAACCTACAGCGAGGAACATTTGTCACCCCCTTCCAGTAATTGCAAGTATCGTGTATGTCGCGCTATTCTAGCATTCTTTTTTAGTCTGTAATCCTTTCTCTGAACTTTCTTTTTTATCTGGAGCATTAGAAACTTTCTTGGACACTTGTTAGGATTTTGTGCCATAGGATCCACTGTTCTCCAAATTGCTGGAGCCTATGCCATCTCCGTAGCTACAGTTGCTCTCCTCCTGAGCTCTGGATAACCGATCATCGCTGCATCGATACCGGTGTACCAGCATGGGAATGTCGCCACAGATGCCAATTTTAAAGCTGTGGTATATTGGGCGTTCCTTTATTTCTAAAATTCACCTAAAATTTAGTTCCTTTGCACTCTGTTTGCCAAAAGCCTGACAGTCTTTATGTTGACAATCCATTTCCATTTCAGTTAAATTCATTTGTCATGAATGGCAAATCACTGTTGCTGCCGACGCAAATCAATCACCAATAACCTGTTAATGACGATGTCAATTTGATATTGCATCAAATTTGAAATTCCTAAACAAAAAAATAAACCAAAACACAATAAAATGAGTAAATCATCAAACTTCGAGATGGCAAATAACAAAAGATACCCCGAATACATCTAATTAACTCTGTTCTCTAATATGGTGGTAGAGTGTTACATATTGTCTCTGATACAATGCTATGTTGTCCTAACACACTCAGCACCTAACACAGAAAATGTCAGCTAGATAATAACCAAAATAACCTCCTCAATATTACTCTGCTAACTGTTCAGTTAATTCTTTTCAGTCATATTGGAAAAACACTGGCAAACCAAAAATATATATTACATGTTGGAAAAACACTGGAATCAGCCTGTAAAATACCTCCATGTGTAAGTGTTCCAAAATATTTCATCATAATCCTGCTTGTTTTTTGTTTTATTTTATTTTATTTTTAAGACACTTCCAAAAGCTGATTAAAACAATTCAAGGAAAGAAGGAAATTAGACTTATAGGCAGATACAGATACTTTGTCAAACTAAAAAACACAATATATAAAAATACTCAATCTTTCTAAAAATGAACTTAAATACTTTTGGAAAACTGTGCTTGAAGGTATCTAAAGTAAAAGTGCTCAGCATCTTAAACTGTACTATAGGATTACTTTTACAGATGTATTAATTCATAACAGCATTTTACTTTTGCAGTTGGTTGATAAGCGCTGTGTGATAACGTGTTGTAAACTGTGCTATATACATAAAATTGAATTGAATTGAATTGATTTCTAATAAGTTTATAATAAGCAAGCTTCATCACATGCTGTTGGTCAGTTTAATGTAGAACATTGTATTTTGTAAAAAGGCTCTCAAGTTATTTTTGTGAAATTTCCTGCACCTTTTTCCAAAAGCTTTTATTTATTCACAGCATTTTTTGTTCGTCAAAAGTTGACAGTTTTAAACCCACTGAGTCTTAAAATGAAATAAAAATCAAAAGTTTTCAGTTGTAACTCAGAAAGAATAAATGAAAGTTTCATGCAAAAGAGAGTGTCCTTGAGATTACAAAGTTCAGAAAAAGAAGAATATTATAGAATATTCTTGTTCAGTTTAATTTGTACTTTCAAATAGAAATGAAAAAAAAAAATTAAATCTTTGCTACCAATGTGTCGAGTTCCCATTCAATCCTTTTCTGCACTAAACAGTTGTAACCAGCTTTGTTCAGTTCTGAGCATGTCTTAGAAAACACATGAGACAAAGAAAGAAGTAGGCCAGCGCGGCAGAACAGGTCAGCTTCCCTGGAGTGATGTGAAGAAATCACACCGAACACATCGTCTAGTGTTCAGCAGAGAGCTGACCAGTCTCTGGGGACTGCTTACATTTCAGGCAGCCTCATGTCTTTCAACCACACTGTTGTCACTGGCTAATCCCACAGTCCTCAACAGCCTCTGTTGTTGGTTTAAAGAAGACTCCATTTACTTAAGACCGACTGTCCTACATGTTACTACAGCTCACTTCTGGTGTATTGCGTGATGCCAGCGTGCCTTTATATCAGGAATTTTGCTTGTATAAGCATTGTTGCAACATTAACAAAATATGTAAAGGTACAATTCTCATCATTGAATGATGTACAAATACTACAAATACTGTAATGGGGATTAAATTATGAGCTGTTTCTTGATATAATGACTTTGAATAGGACCCAGGAAGACTGAGCTCAGCTGAAAACTTCCACAGTTTGTCCCCAGTGGTAAAAGAAGTACTTAGATCGTTTACTCAAGCAACAGTACCAGTACAGCCAAGTAAAAATACTCCATTACAACTTTTACTTTGGTAGAAGTACACAGTCATAATTTTATTTTAAGTAGAAGCACTGGTTGGTCCTTCTGGCTGATTTATGTTATATGTCATTGTTGGATTGTTATAATTATTATTATCAGTGTGTCAGTAACACGTTATTGTTGTAGCTGCTGCAGGTTTGAACTACTGTGTATTCAGTTTAACATACAGGGGCAACTATAAATCTGAGGGCTGAAAACATGATTAACGGGAGAGGAAGGAAGAAAAAAACTTCTGATACATAGATATGTTTTCTTTTTTTCGAGAATTTGGATCATTTTAGCATTTGTTGAAATAAAACCATGTGAGACGTTTAAAGGGAAATATCATCAATTTAATGGTGATCAGCAGACCTGCAACAAATGATAAATCAGTTTTTTAAAAAGCAAAAACAAAAAGGCTGAATTCTCTGATGTGTAATATTTTCTAGTTTCTTCCATCCTTTACGACAGTAGGTCTGCAATGAACATATCAAACAACTACAAAGAGAGACATTTAAACAGAAGTAATTGTTACTCTGGAGAAGTTCCTCAAACACTTTTCCTTTAGTATTTGTGTTGATACAACTTTGTATCAGTGTTGATCAGAGGGATTTTGGAAGTTTATGTAAAGGCATAGTCCGTTGTGAACATTCCCTTGGCAGCGGTGTTTCAAAGAAGCAAAGAGAACACATTGGAAATGAGCAGCAGTGAAAGAGTTAAAAAAAACACACCAAAAAAAAACAAGAGACTCTGCAGAGGAAGAGTAAACTTCCTTCTCCCACTCTGCTTCTTGTGTTCAGTATTGGAATAGGTCATCACCTCATCACTGCTTCCTATAACCAAACCCATTTTGCTTTTGACCGCAGCACTGAGAGCTTAAGTTGTCCTCTCGTCCTCTGTCACTCGGCCTCCCCGTCCGCTTCATGCTGGAATCTGAGAAAAGGGCTTTGCTCATGGCAGGTTAATTGCCTCGCAGATTCCTGTGCTAATAGAGCTAATCCTGCCTTTGTGTAGTTTGTGCTCCAGTTTTGAGCTTGTTAGCCGGGTTATTGTGTGAGGTTGCAAGTATTAATTGATTAGCATTGAGGCTCGAGCTGCTTCTCAAAGTCGGGGAAGGATCCTTAACAAGCGCATTTCTCGGATGCTGCTGAAGGATTGTTCCTGTTGTCTGCCAAAGACCACGTCCTTCTTTTAGACAGTTTTCAAGGATAACTGTGTGTATCCTCTGCATTCTTAACCCGCTGAACTCCAAGCAGATTCTGGGTGTTTTTTGTTTGTTTTTTGTTTGTTTTTTTGCAATACGTTTTTACTTACTGTGGGCTCATTTTTCACTGCACTATGAAGTCCTGCACTGTCCAGCACTGCTGTGGCTAGAGGTAGAGAGCTCCTTTTTTGTTCCCTGTGCATTATGACATAGTTACAATACAATAAATCAAAAAAGAAAAAAATCTAAGGTAGATTTTCCTTGCTAAACTATTTTACAAATTTTTTTAAAAAGAAAAAAAAAATCAACGTACATTTTTCCAAGTGCACATTTTTCTTACTTCTCGATATACCATATTTGAGACATGCTGCATTATTTTTATTGACTAAGTATGTCTTATTTTTCTCTCAGTCTCGCCAATTAGTTTCCATACCTGTCCCCTCTCTGCTCTGTGCAAACACAGCCTGCAGTTCAGCTAAATGCTCCCTGAATTTTTCTCACCTGTCCGTTTGATCACAGCTAAATCACTCATGGTTTCTTGGTTATGCCGAGGAGCATAGAATGCAACCTTTTGCAGAATCAAAAGGTTTATTTTTGGGGAAGTTCTGAATAATGCAT